GTCTTCCTGGTTTGTTGTGAGGATAAAAAGAGATATTTGTAAGGAACTTTGCAAACCTTAAAGTGCCATATTATTGGCTAACTATAATAATAATAATTATTGTTATTATTAGCCACTAGAGTTTTTTTTGAGTAAGGGAGGTACATAGACCTAGGCTTTAAGAAAATCACTTTGACGGCTATATGGGGAGTGAAGTAGAGAGAAACTTGAGGAAAGGAGATCAGTTAGGAGGCCATACTTAAGTAGAGAGATAACAAAGTCCTCAGCTATTTGGTGGTGACTGTGTGAGAGAAGGGGACAGATATGAGATGTTGTAAAGATAGAAACAAGATTAGGAGACAGTGGATATACAGAGTGAGTTGAAATTGATAGTAGGGTTACTGGATGACTAGAAAGATGGTGGTGTCTTCAACAGAAAAAGAGAAGTTTAGAAGAGGGATGGGTTTTGGGGGATTGATGATGAACCCATAGAGTTTGAGATAACTTCGGGATATCCACTTGGAAATGTCTAGTAGGCACTTTGTGATGGGGGATGAGCTTAGCAGAGAAACTAGAGCTGGGAGTCATTTGCGTAGACGTGATTGTTAAGCCCATAGGAATTGATGAGGTCACTGAGAGAGTATAGACAAAGAAAACAGGGCCCAGGATACACCTTGGGGTACAATCTATGCTTAAAGGATGTGATATGGATAGTGACTTTGAAAAGAAGACCGAAAAGGTTAGTTGCTAAAGCAGAAGAAACAAGAAAGCAATGTCCCAAAAACCCATAGAGGAAAGTAGACGACAGTGATGTATTCTGCAAAGAAGTTAAGAAGAGGATTGAGAAAAGGCCATCAGATTTGTCCATTAAGAGGTCATTGATAATTTTGGAGAGAGTCATTTCAATTGAGAAAAGGACAGAAGCTAGATTGCAAAAGATTGGGAAGATAGTGAGAGGAAATAGAGAAAATTTGAGCTTTTTTCTAGGAGTTTAACTTTGAAAAGGAAAGAAGATATATAGGACAATACCTCGAGAGGAAGGTAATTTTTTTAAAGCATAGGAGAGAACTGGGCATATTTATAGGCAGCAGGGAAAATGTCCTTATTTCCCATTGGTACTAACCTGTCACAAACTGTAAGCTTCTCAAGGAGAAGGACTGTTTCATTTTGTCTTGTAATCACTAGCACCTACCTCAGTGCCTGGCACATTTGTTAAGCTGTGTTTCTCAGCTAAGTGATCGATAGCAAGTTTTTACCAGCGGTAAAGAAGGTGATAGATTTTGTTTTGGAGTTTGACTAAAGGACTTGACAAATCAATATTGTATAGGGATTTTCCTTGGGGGAAAATTTAGAACAAGTGTTCAGGTTGAATAAATTAAGTGCAAACTAGATGAAATTCTTAGGGAATACAAATCAACCCAGGTCTCCCATATTTAGAAGAATTTTAATTTTTTTCAGTGAAACAAATTGAATTAGAGATTTTGGAATTCTGAAGTGGTAAGATCAAAGCTATTTAAACTGGTAAGGAGAGGCTAGCATTTGTTAATGCTAAAGTTTTTCTTTACATCTCCAGATGTGTATGTTAATTATTCAGGAAAAGACTTGACATTTCCAGGGAACCAACCTCACTTCCTATTTTATAGAGAACTGGCTGCTGCGACTGAAATTTAGAAGGTTCTGATGATATTTGTAGTCCTTCAGATGGTAGAAGTAGCTGAGTTAACCCCTGGTTACCAAGAATCAGTTAAAATAGGAAGCCACCAGATGGTGGGTGCACTTCCTCTTGCTGGGAGGGCTTGGGGTATAACTCCTTTGGCATCCACCCACCTCTTATTGCTTCCTTCCTTGTGATCTCCAGGCATCTTCCTAGAGGCCTCCACCGGAATACACTAAAAAAAAAAGTTCCCTTGGAGTTTTTGCGTCCCAAGGTCTAGGGTTTCTATCTAACCATTCCTTATTTATTTTAGAAAGTTATTTTGAAAGAGCTTTTCTTGCTCGAGGTTCCTGGGTGACCATGCTAGGTCTACCCTGCTAAGACTGGCCATTAATACTTTGACTAATCCAGTGTATATATTCATGGTCCCAGAGTGCTTTGTCCTATCACATTTGGATGGTGCAGAGTTTTAATACTTTAATTATTAATTATTTTATAATATATATAATAATACAAATATATAAGCATTATTAATTTTTAATAATTTAGTAATTCAATACTTTAGTACTTTTAAACTCTAGCTCTTTCCCTAAGGAATGTGTGGTTGCTCCTTGGTGTTTCTTTGTTCCTGATGTACTTTTCGCTTCATTTTCACCTATATTACTCTTTCAAATTTTGCTTTTACATGACTTTCATTTTTATCCATTTCTTAATGCAGGGAAGCACCTACTACATAAATGCTTCAGGCTCTAACATTATCTTTGTGGGTGAGAAAGGCTGCTTTTGGGAAAGGCCTACAAATCATTCCATTAGCTGACCCATTTTGCTAGGTGCCTTAGGTGACTTGAGTGTTTTCTAATGAAACCCTGTAGCCACGGATCTGTATTACTGGTAGCAGTTTTAAAGACAAAGCCCAGGTACTTTGAGTGTATGCCAAAAATTCATCAACAATTGGCTTATGAGAAGCCTGGGCAGTTGAAAGAGTCCTGGCCTCCCCCCAGCATTTAGGCTCCCATTTGTGGTGCACAAGCTAGTTGGTTGAAATGAAGCAGGGAGAAACCTAGTCTAATTGCTGCACCCAATGGAAACCTGACTGATGCCAGATTTCTCTCTGACCTCTAAATTGACAGGAACTGTTAGTACAGCTGAAACATACTTGAGGGAAAAGTGAAAGGAAGTTGTGACTGAAACAAAGGTATCTGGGTCCAAAAATCCCTCTCAGTAACATGAAAAACAACAAACCAAATAGCCACCAAAACCCCAGGGCTGTGGGGCGGCTAGGTGGTGCAGTGGATAGCGCACAGGCTCTAGAGTCAGGAAAACCTGAGTTCAAATCCAGCCTCAGACCCTTGATCACTTGATACTTACTAGCCGTGTGACTCTGGGCAAGTCACTTAACCTGAAATGCCTTGCAAAAAAACCCCAAAAAAACAACTCAGGACTGTGACTAACATACTAACCATTGTGCTGGTACAGCAAGACGTTTCTTAGTGTGGGAAAGACAAGGGTTGTTTTAGGCACATTTATCTGTAAAATTTTATTTTCTTACAAGTCTTTGGGTTCCTCGTTCAGTTAGCTGACATGTTGCTATCCCTCTCTTTTTATAAACAGAATATGGTGCACCTGAAGATGGGGAACTGAAACCACAACAGCCATTTATGCTGAAAAATCAATTGCTAAGTAAGAATTCAGAATCTAAACAATAAATATTTGTCTTCAAGTCCTTATGAGCAAAAAGAAAGCCAGGAGGAACTTGGCTGATGGAGATCACAGAGTTTACCTTAAACAGATTTTATATATTAACTGAAGTACCATGATATTTAAAGCAATGCTTAATGATTATAAGTTTTAATATTTAGCATATAGGAGTGAAATTGCTTTAAGGATTGAGCATTTTATAACTATTGTGCTTCAGATTTCATTTTAAATTGAAATAGTGTCTGAGTAGTTAAGTAAATTATGATTCTCTAGAAATGAGTAATTTTCCTACTTTCGAATGTTTCCCAAAATGCAATTTGAGAGAGCATTAAAGAAGTGATAGAATAAGTTGGAAACTGATACTGGAATAGTACTTGCCTCTTATTTCTGAGAAGGCTACAGAGTATTTAGGGTCAAATATTATGTCAATAAGAACCGTTCTGAATTAAGTACTGAAGCAGGGAGCTAATGGAAGCCATAATTGCAAACATAGTAAAAGAAACATTGCAACAGGTATTCATTAAGTAATATTTCTCTTTTCCCTTAAAGCACTAACGATAAAATGTCTTAATCAGCCTGATCAAAAAGTCCTAGTGAAGCAACTACCAGGTAAGGGCATGCCTAAGCAGTTTTTGACCTGTACTTGTAGCTGTTCCTGGGCAGGGATGGTGGGAAGCTTTCTAAAGCAGATCAGATTCATGTAAAAAGATGGACTTGAAAGTTTTCAGATTTTCAGACATTTTCCAATTTAAGGCAGCCCCAGAGAAAGTAAGTCACATTAATATTACTTCCATTCCCAGAGTTATCAGGAGCCCACCATTTACTTATCTCAATGCATCCTGTCCCTGTGTTATCAGAGGGGACTGTGAGGTCCTACCAGAGGCTTGGTGTAGGGGCCTAGCAATATTCGTCCTGAAGACCAGCCTACCGGCATAGCACTGGGTTTGTCCCAAGGCAACTATTGTTTTTGAGAACAGTAACTTACTTAACAAATTGTTTGGAAGAGTTGTACCTCTGTTAATGAAGGGAGCTCACAAATCACTGAAGTCACATATATTTTGAGATGTTAAAGTTTAAAAATATTGTAGACATATAAAGGAGATACCAAATTTTAATTTTTGAAAATGTAGTTTTGTTTTTTTTAGTTTTAAATATTCACAGCCACAGATTTTTGCATAGCTCTTCTCCATTTACTGCAGTGCCTTTTCAAAAATTGTTGGCTGCTGTTGTTATTGTTGTTTGTCCTCTGTTCTTGAAGAGGACCAGTGACATCAGGAAGGTGATGTCATGACTTACAAGTGAATTAGATTTAAGTGAGGTAAGGCTGTGCAGTCACTAGCCTCACTCTCTCCTCTGGAGCCATCTGGGTCCAGTGGCAAGATACAGATCAGGACAACTGGAGATGGCCCTGATGCAATGGGAAACTTTGGCCTTTTTAAGCTAAAGTCTTTCCCAGTTCTCAGTTTTACTGAGGCGAAGCCCATTCAGTGATTAAAGATAGGTAAGAAATGAGGCCAAAAAAATGGCCTTTTTTTGTATCCTAAAGAGCAGGGACATTTTTCCCCATAGTGCTTGGGTACAGTGTTCTGCATACAGATACTCTACAAATTCTCACTGACCAAATACAAATACTTGGAGAGTAATAACCACACCTACTTTTTCTTAGGTGTAAGACCAACAAGCAATGATTTTCCTTCTCTATCTGCAGACCAGCTTTGGGGCTTTATTCAAATATGTCTGTTATTTTATAGATCATCTAGTCCAACCCCCTCATATTACAGATGGGGAAATGAGGCCCAGAGAGGTTAAGTAACTAATCCAGGATTGCATTAGTGACAAGGTTAATAACTGGGAAATGAACTAGGTTTCTCTTGACTTCAAATCCAATGCTCAGTCCAGAATGATTGTTTATTCAGAAAACAAATATCTTTCTGAACAAATTTGAACTAGATGATTTAACTTAGACTTGACTCAGATGGAAACAAACTAAAACCTGAAATGTGGCTATCATTTGCTGTGATCAATTCATATACTGTAGAATCTGAAATTTAAATTTTGATTTAGATAAATATTTAAGCAAAGGTCAAATTTAGAACAATGATTTAAAAGCAAAAATGAAATTCAAGTCAGCAAAACCACTTTTCCCTTTTTACTCATCAGTAGAGAAAAACTGATCTTTAAAATTTGTTCATTTATTTAATAAAACAAGCTTATGATAGCATTACTGCTTGCTGTACTCATCAGTAAGAATTTATCAGTCTTCTGTTAATTTACCAATATTCCTTCTTTCATTTTCTTAAAAGACTACTCCAAAATCTGCTTCTCAAAAAAACCAAAAAGTAGATAGTTTGATTCATTATTCTGTTTTCAGAGTTAAATGTTGACAGCATGGGCCACAGTAGTGCTGGGTAGGTCGAAAACCAGTTCATCTCCTTTGATGTTATTGCCATTAGCCCTTAGGAATTTACAGTTTCCCCCTTAGAAAAAAAGGCATCACTGTGTTTGCACTCATTGGGATTATCAATGTTGAGACCTAGTTCCTATAGGGTTTTTTTTCACTGGGGGAAAAAGGGAACTTCACTGTTGAATTCTGAAATCTTTAATCATTTTCCTAGCTTTGGGAATTTGCTGTGGAAATTATTCTCATGATATTCCATAATTTATCTGTAATTTAGAGTCTTAGAGAGTTGCCAGGAACAGGTGACTTGCCCATGGTCACATAGTTAGTATATGTCAGAAGCAGGAATTGAACCCAGATCTTTTTGATTTCCCTACTTCACCATACATTACCAAAGAAAAGTAGAAGAAAAAAATCAGATTATTCCATTTGCAAATTATGCCTGTTACACTTCAATTGCCTGTTATAACTATCCTAGCTGCTTTGTTTTAATGGCCCTGTTAATATATTACTAGCTGTTGCTTTCCCTGTGTGTAAAGCAGAAATAAAACAACCGTGTACTTCTTTGTGAATAAGCATACAAATAATTCTAGAAATGAGGAAAGAGCACGCACATACAAGATGTTTTCACATGACGCTTTATTTTAGTCAGTGAATTTTATTTGGGTAACTGTAAGGGGATGAAGTGCAGGGCAGTAGGTTTTATAGTTTAGTCCTTTTAGTAAGCAGGGGAGCATTGGACAGGGATCTGCAAGGTTACTTATGATACAGAATTTACTGTAACCAGTTCAAACTAAGAGCCAAGCAAGGACTCTGGAAAAAAACAAAACAAAACAAAAAATGAAAACAAAATTATAGCCTGTAGAACTTTGTAATCTTTTGTATGCTTTGTAATAGGATTTTACCCGTGGTTTAACAAATGCTTTTTTTTTTTTGGCCAGAACTAGATGGTTTACTTACATGACTTTCTAAAAGGCATCATTATCATCTCAGATTCATTTTAGCCTCGACTATTGATTAGGTCATCTCATACCTTTATTTCATTAATAATTAAGTGGAAATGGCAGAGTTAGAAATGGTGTGCATTAACTTCTGCTTGGATTACTCTGAATTTAACCCCCAAATGGTATATAACTCACTGTTTTGCATTAAATCAAGAACCTAAGTGTTTTTCTTGATACTTGGAAAACATAATTATTTGTGGCAGAGGAGTAAATACGTTTGTAACTTATCTGAAAACGTCCATCAAGAAATGTAATTTCTCAGATTATCCTGTAGAGAAAACCACTGACGTCTGAATCATACCTGATCAAGAATCTCCTCTATAAAATCCCAAAGGGTCATCTTTGCTTGAAAACTTGTAGTGAGGTAGAAACCACTATTAACCTAGGTGGCCTGTGTTCAATTTTAGGCAATTTTCAATGTTCAGTTTTTCCCATACTTTAAGCCTAAATATTTCTCTATGCAACTTCTATCCATTCCTCGCGTGTTCTGTTACTCTGGCCCTAAACAGGTTTAATCATCCTTCACTTGATGGCACTTAAAATACACAAAAGATGGGTCATGTTGCTCCCCAAATCCTTTTCAAGTTAAGTATTTCCAGTTTTTTCAGCTGATCAAAATACAGCCTGGCTCAAGACTTTTTCCCACTGTCTGGACATTGTCCAGGTTTTCCTCACCTTTCTTAAAATTTAGTGACCAGCACTGACTATCCATCATGCTTCAGCTCTGGTCTTACACAAAGGGACTCTCATTTATTGTGTTTTGGACACACTGCAGTGTGGGAGCACACTAGCTTTTTGGCTAGCATGTTGCCCTGTCAACACTGCTTGTTAGACACAAAAAGTGCCTTATGTATTTTTCTCAAGAATAATTGTCTAGCTGTGCCTCTCTCATCCTTTATTGGTGAAGTGGAATTTTTTTTAGTTTCCTTTAGTATATGATTTTACATTTATATCCATTCCATTTTATCATGATTTAATGGATTAAGAACTAGCCTTAAAGCCATAAGATCTAAGTGTAAGTCTTTTCTCTTGACGCAGCCAGATATTGGCCACTTGACCACTGGTCAGTCAGGCAACCTCACAGTGCTTGAGGCAAGTCTCTGAGACTCTAAGAGAAGGTCTATAGAGACCTATGTCAGCAGAGGATATTTCCTCACTTCGGCATTCCTATACTTGATCAATGAAATCACAGGTCTAGTTCCTATCCTAAACTTCATCTAATTAGATTCTACATGTTGAGATCTTTTTCAATTGTTACCCACCATGTTAACTATCCTTTCCAGTTTTGTGCAGTCAGCATGTTTGTTAAAGGCACTATCTATACATTTATCCAGATCATTGGTAAAAATTACTAGTGACTTCTCTCCAAATTGGCAATAACTCATTAACTATTTAGGTATGGTTGATTATTCCACCAGTTCCACATTCACTTAACCTGGGTGTCATTCATCCACAAGGATAGCATCTGACTTTCAATTGCTTTGCTCTGACCTAACATCTTCTGCTTTCTGCTGAAGGAAGGAAATATGGTTACTTTAGCATGACATTAGCGATTATTAATCCCCTTTCTAGGTGTTTACTAAATATTCCTTTAATAACACATTTTAGAATTTTACCAGGAGTCAAAGTCAGGCTCACTGGTCTATGCTTTACCTCTCTGTTCCTTTTTGAAAACTGGGAAAGCATTTTTGTTCTTTTCTAGTTCTGAGGCTTCTCTTCATTGTCTAAGATTAATGACAGTGGCTAAGCAATTGAATCTGCCACTTTTTAGTTCCCTGGGATGTAGTTCATTTAGCTTGATGACAAATTCACTATGGGCAGCCTGATAACTTCTTACATTCTCATTTTTATCTTGAATTCTAACTCCTTACTATTTTTATTCTGTCCTTTCCAGCCTAAAGTGCTTTCTTTGCAGAGAAAAAAAAACATAAAGATAATAGTTGAGTAGTAATACCTTTTCAGCATCTATTGTTATCCTTGCCCTATCCCGTCTTTGCTTGTTTTCCCTCCAACGTAGGCTTCTAAAACTTTGTTGTCCTCAATGAATTCTCTTAGTACTCCTTATACTATTCTTATGGTCCTATAATATATTTATATTTATCATTTCTTACTTCTGTCTCCCTAACAGTCTGTCAAAGGTTTGCCTGAAAGGATTTATATAGGCCATGCTTGATTATGATTTAATTTGTATCCATCTGAGGTGACATTAACAGAAATGACTATTAATTCTGACATTTCTAGCAATAGTGTTTCAAAAGATGTGATAGTCATTGTATGTATATATTACACTCAAATCTGTGATTTTGGTAGGTTACAGCCCATCTTCTATGACTCTTGTTCATGCTTCCTTTCCCCAAAGAGGGATAGAAGGTAGAGGGAGCCTTCTTGCTTTCAGGAGGGCACTCACTAACGGAACAACCTGGCTAGCTGCCTGTTGTACCTTCCTTTACCACATGACCAGCCTGTCTTTTCTTCCTAGCACACATCTCCTCGATGACATCTTTTACTCCTGTTTTAGTTGGAATTCCTCATTGCTTAGATATTGAAGCTCGCTGTGTCCTCCATAAAATTCTGCCCTGATCCCTCTTTGGGGCATGAAGGTGATTCTTGAGGGCTGTGCTAGAAAAGCTTTGACTGCAGATGGCCCCAGCAAGAGATTGAGTCCGCTATGTAAGGAAGAGGCCTGTCAAGGGAGAAGCTCATCCCTAGAAGCCTACCTCCTTAATGAGGAATTTTTTTTGGCTATGGCAGTTGATGTATATGTATAATATACAACTTAGGTTGAGTTTTATTCCCAGTAATATAAGATGAAGTCTAATTAGTTACATGGCTGAATGTAATACATTAGAAAAGAAAGCGCTAATTTTTTATTCTAAAATAAAGATCACATTTATTATCACAAGTTGCATAAAAACACAGACAGCTTTTACAAAAATGATTTTGATAGAAAAATATTTGAGTTTAAGTACATTGTGATATTGCAGGAAAACCACACACTCTATTGCTGTGCCTCCAGCTAAAGCTTCAAAGAAACTAAACATTTCATAATTAAGATATCCATTATTTACCATAACCCATCTTTGGAAGTAAGTTCACTGTGTTTTCTTAACAAGCCAAATCATTTACTCATTCAAGTTAAATTCCAGGGCTGTACGGTCCCTTGGTGTCATTGATGTAGCACGTTCGCGAATAGTAGAATCAGAGCTGAACAGGATCTTAGAGATCATCTAGTCCAACCCCCTCATTTTACAGATGAGGAAACTGAGGCCTAGAGAAGAAACTATTTGCCCGGAAGAGCTGGGTCTAGAACCCAAGTCTCCTGATTTGCTGGCAAACATTCTTTTCCTTCTGTCAGCTGGACATGAAAAACAAACCAAAGGATGTTGATGATTTCAGACATTCCTTCCTCTGTACTGAGAATTACACCAGGTGGGGAACAGTTTAAAATAGTATAATCAATGGAACAGGATGAAAACTCATCATCAAAGGTCACTTAGGTCAAAACGTTGGCTCAGTGCATCCTGTGTACCCCACCAACTGTACTTAAAGGCTATGAAGCAGTAACATGATGGTCTATGTATCAGATGAGCTTCTTAACGTTAATCAGTTATTTGGATAATCTAAACAACTGAAGTACATACAGACATCAAGCCAGCTTGGTGCTCAAAAGTTAAATAAAAACACGTGCTTACATTACTGTTAATTTAAGAACAATCTTGTGGGTTTTTTTTTTATAAATAAGGGCAGCTGGTTTTATAATTAGCTGTCATTTTTAAAAGAAATAATTTCTTTTCTTCTATTTGACAGAGTCCATGACAATTCAAAAGGTGAAAGGCTTGCTGTCTCGTCTACTCAAAGTTCCAGTATCAGACCTCAAATTGTCCTATGAAAGCCCTAAAGTAAGTGGATTCAACAAGACCCATAATCAAGTTTAGTCCTTCATTATAGATTACAATATATTTGACCAAAGGACATTATTTAGGATTCTGAAGGTGACTGACTTTTAGTGGTATGAAGAGAGTACACTTTGCAGATTTATCTCATACCTTTTAAAACTTTTTTTTTTCCAATTTTAGATGGAAGGCAGAGAAATTGAACTAGAGAATGACCAACAGCCATTACAGTTTTACTCTGTTGAAAATGGAGACTGTATATTAGTACGATGGTAAAAATTAACTTATGACTATTCAGTGTGACTGAGGCCAAGAAGTCAACGATATAAAGAATTTGTCAAACCAAATTTCAATGAAGAAAAGATTGTTTCTAGCATTTGTATGATAACTCTAATAAACACTTTGTGGCTATTTGCTGGCTTTTGTTTGTATATTTATTTTTGTACTTTATTCTTTCTTCATAGTACAACTTTACATAGAAAACCTAAATGTTAAGACTATTTACTAATATTGTTTGAAAAAGTTACTGTCTACAATAAGAATTCTGCATTTTCCCCTAATAGACCTCACTATGAATACTTACTGATACCATGTGATTATGATTTACAACTAAGGAAAAGGCCACTGAAAATGGGGAAGGCACATATTCCCACTATTTTGCTAATTAAATTAATTCTGCTATATCCCTTCTGTTGTACTATTTTTAGGGCACTGAAAAAAAAAGTCATGCTTTTTATTTGGGTTTGAGCCTAGACATAAGTTGAGAGTGTTATCTTCATGGAAGTTCAAATATGACTGAAATTCAGCTCTAGATTGCCTCAATTTTAGGTGAATATTAGTTAGGCCTGAGGTAAGCCATGATGATATAAATACTCCCAGGAAATAGAAAAGTGAGGTTAGTTCTTTTAGGGCACCAACTTATTCTTTAGAAAATTACTTCTCCATTATCATCAAAACCCTGAGGAGTACTTTACTTTTGACTGATGGAAGGTTTTCCTTAATAGGGACATTTCATAGCCCTTATCAACAGAAGCTGACCAAATTAGCACCCAATACTGTATGCCTGTTGAAATATATATAGGCTACAAACTTGGGTAACTACTAATATTAGAGACATACTTAACAACAAGGGTCCCAAACTGGGCAAACTCCCCTCTCCAGCTACCTGCCAGATCTGCACTCACTGTTTAGTAACCACAAGGGATGACTTGCCAGCACTTCATTCCCAATGCAGGCAAGCTAAATTCCCTACTGAGAAACAGACTGTTTCCTCTTGGAACTCCTACTTGGATTTCTTTACCAGTTACAACTGATTTGAGCAATTAGCCAAGTCACAACCCTAAGTAATGGACAGATTATTAAACTGTTAAGTAATTAATTTTTTTTAAATAAAAGGGCTTCGTTCCTTTATAATATGGTATTTTTTAAATTGCTTAGCCATAAAAAAGTTAATTTTTCAGCATATGCTTATTTTTAAAAGGGGAATTTCTATGCAAATATCAAGAAATATTCCATCAGTTATAGGTGAAAGCACCAACAAAATGCCCCTTGAAAGAAATCTGGTTCCACAGCATAATTCTGAATTTTCCTTCTACACTTTCATCTTTTCTTCTCTGCAGGTCTTCAGACAGCCAGGTTTAAATGATCATCATCTTGCCTCACACTTACAAGGATCCCCACATGCTTCCTTCAGCCTCCACAGTTCTGTGAGTTCTTGTGGAGAATACTGAGGGGAAGAGAGCATCCCAGTTTCACAAGTCTTCTCACACAACCAAAGACTATCCTGTTTGTGGAAGTTAAATGTGGAAATTAAAGATACAAATATAGATATACACACCAGATCACTAAGTCAGATGAAGTTTCAAAAGAGCTGTAACATACTCAGTAAAATATTGATGTTTTACCACAGGAGGAGCTTCAATTTCACTTTCAGTACAGTTGGGAATACACAGTTGTTAAATGGGTAGAATCTTCAGAAGATGTAAAAGGGACAGAAAAGAACCAAAAAAGGGAAATAGGGCTCTAGAGAAAATTAAGATGTGATGAGTTTAAGAGGCAGTGATAATGGGGTTCTGGAAGAAAATCTGGGAACTAAGAATTGGGATAGTGAATAATTACTAATCCTCATACTAAGTAAAATGAAAACTGAAAACTGTCTTTTTGTGCAATCTACATAATTTAAGAAAAATTAAGTGTAAAAAAAAATTATACTCCAAATCAACAGACACAGAACTGGAATTCAGGAGACAGACTAGGGTGTTATCTGCATAGCGATAGCTCCATGACAGTTTATAGAAAAAAAAACCACTATTATCCTTAAATTACAGGAGAGGAAATTGGGAAATTGATAGAGAAGTTCAGGGAACCACCCATGACAGATAGGAAGCACTTATACTTTCTCAGATTTGCTCACCTGGTATCTCTTAGGCCCTATAGCTGCCATCCAAATGCCCATGCTCACATCTTCACCCTACAACATGCCCACAAACATCAAAGACAAAAAAAAAAAATTAAAAAGGGCAGGGTTCATGCTTCGTGGAAATAATGAATTTGAGGTCAACCATGTGTTCTTTTGGAGTGTTTCTTTTATTTCCAATTTCTACATCTTTGGTACAAAATCTTCAATCTCATTATCACAGAATGGATAAGAAGGTTAGCATCTATACTTTTCAAAGTATAAGAGTGTAATGAATCTTAAAATTCCACAAGTGACCTTGAGAATAAAGTAAAATAGTTTTTGCTCTGCTGATTGATCAATTACATCAAAACCAGAAGCAAGTAAAAAAACACCCCTTTTAATAACCTCCATTCCAATGAACAGTGAACTTCAGTTCAATTCTGATAATCTACATTTGTAAATAAAGGGTAAAAATATACATAGGTTCAAGAAATTAGGTAGACTCATGAATACTACTAGAGCCATGCCAGGATTATTATGGGGAAAGTAAAGTTAGGAAATATCCTTAACCTTTTGAAGTCAATCCACTAAGAAAGACTAACACCACCAGCTTATATTTATATAGAGCTTTACTGAGTGTACTTACTCAAGGTCACATGGCTATGAGTGGCTGGATTAACTAAATGTTCTGACTTCTAGTCCAGTATTCCTACACTCCTTGGTGCCACTGCCAAGGACAGCAGACTACGGCTGGATAAAACTCAGTTTAAACCATTCTTAAATTTATCATGATCTTGACTAACAAATTCTCGCTTACCTGATACGTCTTTAGTCTTTCTGAGTTGCTTGCTAGCCAATGAACAATATCTTTGGAGATAACGTAACCTGACCCACATGCAAAGGCAGGATAAGCAGGACTGGGGTACTCTAATTCTTGCCACTTTCCTGTCCGGTCAACTGCCCAATTCAATCTGAAGCTTAGACCAAAATAATCGTGTCAGTTTCTTGTGCTTGCTGGGTAGACAAACCAATACTTATCACACTTCTTTTTCCATTTACTTCCTCAACCCCCAAACTACTGTGGATAAATCAGAGAGATGAGAAAATTCTCTTTAGTATAAACAAGCAGAGAGCTCTCTGAGGAGAAACACTGTTGTGTTTTCTTTGTTCCTTTTTTTCTACTCCTTACACACAGATAGGTCATTTAAAAAAAGGTCAAAACTCCAAAAGACTCATGATAGAAAATGCTGTCTACATCCAGAAAAAGAACTGTGGAGTCTGAATGAAGATCGAAGCATATAATTTGCATTCTCTCTCTCTCTTTTTTTTTTTTTTGGTTCTTTCTCGTGGTTTCTCCCATTGGTTCTAATTCTTTTTTACAACATGACTAATGTGAAAATAGATTTAATATGAATGTATATGTTGAGCCTATATCAATTCACATGCTGTCTTGGGGTAGGGGGAGGGTAGAGATAGGGAGAAAATTTGGAACTCAAAATCTTACAGAAGTGAGTACTGAAAACTAAAAATAAATAAATTTATTATTATTTTTAAAAAAATTTTAAAAATTTAAAACATCAAACAATTTTATATATGCAATGTTGTTAGACTAAAGTTTTCTAAGGAGGCTTTTTTTGATACAAGAACGGGGGGGAAAAAGTCAGAAGGCTCTCTTGTATGCTAAGTTCTCTCAGTTTATTAATATGAAATTGCCATCTGGGGTGGTGTTAGTCATGTCTATTAGCAAAAAGAATTTGTCCAAAATTGCTTTTCTCTTCTCACCAGGCAGTAAAATATAGAAGCCTATTATGTTTTTTTCTTAAATTACCACTAGGAGACTAATAAGGAAATTAAATTTCACAACCACATTTTCTTGTGAAAATAACACTATACATTTCACTTCAAAGTAATTACATCCAATTACTTGAAAATCAGTAGGCTGAAAAGTTTTACTCACTTTCCCCACCAAGAATTTGGTCTGTCCAGGTTTTTGTGGGCAATCCTATTAAACACAGCTTCTAAATCTATGTAACAGTCATCATCTGTCTTCAGCAACAAATCAAAGCTAGTTGTGTCCACAGTCCTGGTGCCAAAACACACATACACACACACACATACACGAAAATCAGTGACAATCTATATGGAACACAGCAACAAGATAATATGACAAGAAGAACAGAACAGAGAAGGCCTGATGGAGACCTGAATACTTCTTAATTATTTCACAGTGAAATGTCTTTCTTAAAATCTCATAATCTCATTAAGAGAATGATAGGAAGTAGGAGGCTGAATTGAAAAAAAAAAATCAGAGGAAAGTTCTACCAGCTGTAGGATGGCTGGATTAATATACCAGTTCTGCCCCAAATTTATAAAGTTACACTAATGCTAGTGATTATAAATTTACTATTGATACTAACAACTGAAAAAAATCTACATTATATATTTGATATGAGGGTAATGAATAAAGAAATGTTATCTGTAAGGCTGACTCAAATTATGAGATAACTGCTCAATTAGCAGTTAACTAAAAGGATCTCATAGTTTAAATACACACAAGATTCACATTTTGTCCATGTAATGGATCTGAAAAGCCTTAAAAATATTATTAAATACTATTAAATATTAAATACTATATATTTAAATAGAACTCTCCCCCAAAAGCCAAATCCCTTTCAAAATTTTACATTGATGCCAGAATTATACATCAACAATGTTTTTTAAAAATTTTAAGTAAATTTTCTTCAATATATTTCAAAATCTATATTGTACTTTCATATTTTCAAAATACAATAGCTAATTATTCTTCACATCCTGAACCTTCAAACAGTAATGTCATAGTTAATGGCTCCTACAAACTGAAATATCTGATAGCTCCTAACTACATGCAGATTAAGGGACTAATGCAAAGAAAATTGAATTCCTAGGTCTTGTAACTGCCTAACTTTGGCCACAGCCATTCCCCTGATTCCCCACACTTAGTCATACCTGAGTCCTTGGCCTATTAGTATCTCTGAAAAATTACATTCTATTGTCCTAACTCTACAGTATCTTCAGACACCTAAATCTGTCACCATCTTTGACTACCAAACCATACTTTATACAAAATTTGTGTTTATCTCGAGTACTTTTTTTTTTTTAAGTGAGGCAATTGGGGTTAAGTGACTTGCCCAAGATCACACCGCTAGTTCATGTCAAGTGTTTGGTCCGAGGCCGAATTTGAACGCAGGTCCATCCTGACTTCAGGGCCAGTGCTCTATCCACTGTGCCACCTAGCTGCCCCTCGAGTACTTTTGTGCTCTGGGTCAGATAGTTAGCACCTGAGGTGCTATGGAATGGGAAAAGTTAAGGGAAAGAGAAAGGAAAAAATATGGGGCTCAATGAGGAAGAAAGGAATAAAAGCTTAGGATTAGGATTTTAGAAAATTAAAGAGGTGGTTGGGATTTGAATATCAATCACAGGTCCACACACATATACTCATATGGCTTATCACATAAACACGTATAGGTAGTGAACAATAGATTTGTATTTGGTACCAAGCGTTATATTAGAATAAGCATCAGCTGATTAAGGAATCCTAAGCACAGGAATAACAAATGAATTTCAAGACAACACTCATAAATACTGAAGGCTATTAACATGACTGGATTATAAAGAACATTGAATCTAAATTTGGAATATTTTAATGTTGGAGGGATAAAGAATTAAAATAGTTCATGACAGTAAAGACAAATAAATCCTCTGACTTTAAATCCAGTGCTTTCCCCCCCATACACTAAGAAGGCAAGGAAGTACAAAGAAATAAAGACAAGAATTCTTTGGGGCAGATTTAGGGTTGTGAGTAGCAAAATAATTCACTGTTTCAAAGTAGACGTATAAACAACTAAAATATGACCCCTTTTAACTTCACTGATTTCCCCTGACGGGTGCAAACAGTTGTTTGCCTTGTTGTTCATTCTTCTGACTTATTTGTGTTGGTGAGAATATCCTCAAAACTATATTAACTTTTGCTTAGTTAATTTCTAGTAATTTAATCGCTGATCTGCTACCTTGCGTAATTGGCAGCATTCTGGAATGGCAATCCTTAACAAAAACTGAAGCAAAATTGATTTATATTCCAGATGTCCAGGGTGTCACTCTCTGAGAATAGGTAAGGTTTTTCTACACACGACAAATCACATAAAACCCAACCACAAAATATTTTATAACCTACCACCTATAGAAGTTCAGTAATTTTGCAGGAACATTTCGGTAGGTGTCAACAATGTCCACAAAAACAATATCATCAAAGGTGCTGCTCTCTTTTTTCAATAAGGCATCCTCTTCGCGGAGGTTATTGGTATGATCAATAAACCTTTCTGGGCGAGTTTGAAGGTTTTGTAAAAGGGTATCACCTTCTGAAAAGGAGGAATGACAAAAATGTGAGAGACAATACAAAAGCTAATGAGTAAAAAAAAAAGGCTAATAAGTAGTAATACAGCTCATTTATATACAGTATTATAATTTGATAATAATAATAACTAGTGTTCATTAAGCCCCTACTATGTGCCAGGAACTGTGCTGAACACTTCATTTAGTATCTCATTTGATCCTCACGATAACCCTGCAAGATGCCATTATGATCCCCATTTTATAGTTGAGGAAATTGAGGCAGAGAGGTCACACAGCTAGTTAAAGTGCCTGAGGCTGAATATGAACTCAGGTTTTCCTGACTCTAGGTCCCATACTCCTGTAACCTACCTGTCCATTACAAAGTACTTTTCTCAAAATAACCCTGTGAGATAGGTACTACTCCTACTTTACTAAAGAGGAAATGAAAGCTTAATAAGTGTGAGTGAGAGAGTGAGAGAGTGAGTGAGAGAGAGAGAGAGAGAGAGAGAGAGAGAGAGAGTGAGTGAGTGTGTGTGTGTGTGTGTGTGTGTGTGTGTATCTACATTATTTAGCTTGAAGTCTTCCTGACTTCAATCCAGCTACCAACTTAGAGGGGTAATTCTTCAACCCTAGTTCTCCATCTCTCAAGAGTCTTACCAATCACCTCATGGCATATCAAGAAACTAAAAAAATCATGAAGTTAATTTTGCTTTCAATTCATGGAAGCAGTGCCAAATACTAGAAAGAGCACTAGTCTAAGAGTCAGAAAGTTTGGATTGGGCCTTAATTCCCTTGTCTATTTAAATGTGGAAGTTGAATTAAATTTGTAATTCTACGACCATTCCTTTTAACTTTAATTAAAATGTGCATGTGGACTGCACAAGTTTTTAGGAGGGAAGATAAAAAGTTATAAGAAGCCAAAGTCACAACAGAGATATTAAAACTCCAAAAAGTGAAAGTGGGTTTAGAGGGGGTGTTTAAAAAAGTTCTTTCTGGGGAAGCTAGGTGGTGCAGTGGATAGAGCACCAGCCCTGGATTCAGGAGGAACTGAGTTCAAATCTGACCTCAGACACATAACACTTACTAGCTGTGTAAGCCTGGGCAAGTCACTTAACCCCACTGCCTAGCCAAGAAAAAAATAAAAAAGTTCTTTCTGTTCTAAATTCTTTTTTAAGACCCTGTGTAATATATCCATCTTGAGCTTACTGTCAAAGCATGGCAGAAAATGTCAGTCTAAACCTCATTTCTGCCAAACTGTTTTCCAGTTTTCCCAAAAACTCTTGTCAAATGGGGGCAATTCCCCCAATGGTTTATGTATTTAAGTTTATCCAATGCTGGAGATATTTTCAATAGATGCTTCTTGCTTAACCAGTCTGTTTCACTGACATGACATCTCTTTGTTAAAGCCTGTACCAAATACAGTGATGGCTACTTTATGATATAGTTTGAGGTGTGGTAATGCAATGCCCTTTTCATTTGCATTTTTCTCATTATTTTCCTTGAGTTGCTGGACCTTTTTTTCTTCCAAATGAATTTATTTATTTTGTCTAGTTCTATAAAGCACGCCCACACCCCCCTTCTTCCCCCCTCTGATTGACTGGTGTAGTATTAAATCTGTAAATCAGTTTCCAAAGTATTGCTATTTTTATTATGTTGGTATAATCCAACCATGAACATTGGTTATCTCTCCAATTATTTGTTTCCCTTATTTCTGCAGTGTTTTGTAACTGTATTTATGTAACTCCTGCATGTATACTGGTTGGTTAACTCTCAAGTATTATGTATTTTATAGGGCTTTTTTTGCAATGAAATTTCTTGTTAGTAATTTTCCTATTTGTTTTTTTAATCAGTATTTTATAGAATTGCTGATGTTCATGAATTCATTTTGTATCCTGCTCCCGTGCTGCAGCTGTTGTCTTGATTAGTCTCTTCACTTATTCTCAGGGGAAGCACAGTCCCTTAAGACTAAGAAGCCACAAACTTACTTTCACTAAATCTGTGGCTCACTTTGCACAATACAGGTGTGTGGGAAAAACTAAGTGTAAATGTTATTAAAAATCAAATGCATTTGGATAGACTGCTATTCCTAGGAAACTGACGGTGAATAATTTTGTAAATTTAACAACTTCCTCCCGTCTAGGATAAATGGAGTGTTACACATCCTGCTTCCTTAAAGCAGTATTTGCCTCCTGGTGTTCTATGGAACTCATATGCTCTATAGGAAAAGAATGGGAGCGGGAAGGTTATATAAGAAAATTTTGATGCTAGTGATCATTTCCTGGGGATAGGAAGAGACAAGGCTCTCTTTGAATTTCAGGAAGGAAGGAAGGGAAAAAAGTTGGAGTGAGGCAATCAGGGATAGGATGATAATGGTCTTAAAAATCTGGTTGCATCACGATGTGCTGGGTGAGCAGTGAGTATATTGCCATGGCTGCCAATAAGTCCTGCCACAAAAGATAATAAAGCAAGACAGAGTGGGATGATAACTGCAGCTAAGGCAAAAGTCTTGCCATAAGCCATAGACTTGACTGTAACCCAACTTGGCAGAAATGACTTGCAATGAGAAGACTGGAATAGGAGAACAGATGTCCTGAGAATATCAGCAGCAGCCCAAAGTTGTTGGAAAGAGAGATACGTGCAGTACTGAATTAACCCTTCTCTGTTTCTTAAGTAAGGTGCTGTGCTCCGGGCAGAATTGCTTCTGCTCCAAGACCTGCAAATCCCAAACACAAAAAGGCTTCACATCCTTGAACTACAGAAGCCTGTACAGCATTTTTTTTTTCATTATGAAAATAAATCAATTCTCTCTATTTTCTTTCAAAATTTCCTATTCTCCCTTTATCCTGTGGGTTTTCTATACCAAAGGATCAGTATTCATAGGGCTGAATAATTCAAGGCCAGATATCCTATTGCAAAACTATTTTTGGGAAAATGAGCCTACTGTTATGCTAGTACAACAAAAATTTAATATAGACCTCACTGGTTATCTGCTTAATCATCACTAAATAAACTGGTGTTTATTCCTTCACCTTAATGCCAGAGTTATTTTACTTTTCAAAGAAAAATATCCTCAGTGTGTAAAATATAGCTAAAAAAAATTTTCCCCTGCATGATAACAGCAGGTAAGTCCCTTGCATGCAATAGAGCTGAGTGCCAGGAGTCAAGAGCAAAGAGTAACAGGATTCCTGCAAAGACGAAATCAGCCAGATCTCCCATAAGAATGTTCTTCCCTATTCCTTCCCCCTATAAATAAATGAAATAAAACTGAATGTTTAAAACAAAGCAATAAAATAATGGGGAAAACAACAGGCTAGAAGGAATCTGGGCAAGTACATCATCTTCATATAGTTTAAGAGAGCAGTTAAAAAAGACAAAAGAGTCTTTGTTGTTTAGATATTTCATTCTTATACAGACAAGAAGAGCTTCCATATTTCAAAATTTAGGTCACTTGAGAAACACTTTACAGGTTCTCTCAACAATAATCTCAAAAGACATGAAAAGCTATTTTTTTTTTTTTTTTTAGGCAATTGGGGTTAAGTGACTTGCCCAGGGTCACACAGTGAAAAGCTATTTTTAACAACACAAGGGTGTCAGTGTTCTCAGAAAGGACGCTGCTACAGATAGGGAAGTAGAATCCCAAATTTTAGGACTGCATAGGAGGACCTTGGACTTTTTTTCCTAACTAGGTCCCTTCAGTGGCAAGCTTTAGGAAAACTCTTCAACTTTCCCACAGTTTTACTCCAAAGCTGATACAGCCAACCTCTTCTGGATGATCTAAGTAAATGGGCTCCTTTCCTCTTTAGCAGTGTTGTCTATTGGAAGGAACACTGGGCTGGAATTAAGGGCCCAAATCTTAGATCCAACTTTATTATTAGATCTAATACATGGGGAAATTTTTTAACCACTCAATTCACTCATGTAACACTGGGACCATCATACTTGCTCCAATCTATTTCCCCATGGGGACACTGGGGAGCTAACAAGAGAAGCTTTGAGAAAAAAGGTAGAATCCCTCTGTAAGAGCTTATCAGACAGGTCTGTGTATGCCATGCTTCATTTTATGTTGCCCAAAATACAGGCACTACTCACAATGAAAGCCTAGTAGAATAAAAGGCCTCTATAACATGGGTCTTAGTCCCAAACCTGACAACAGCAATAAAATGGAGTTCCACTGTACTTCATCTCCAAGGTCTTTCTCTGATCTTTTATAGTCATTGGCAAAACAAGGACCCCTATTCCAAGAACCCTTCAGAAGGGACTGTACTGATTGGAAGGGATACAGTCCTTGAGAATTGTGGCATCACCAAACAGACCTTGCTCCATCAATGGCTTTCAGTTATAAATAAATATATTGGCAGTATCCTTCCTTTCTTAGCTACCACTGAGAGGATACAGGTGAATAAACACTAATGCCTTTAATAACAAAAACAAAAAACAAGAATCCCAAATACAGCCAGTACAAAATCTGACCAAAATTTCCTCTAAATAATGTCTTAGAAAAAATTTTGGGTTAATACTCTTGGCCCCCGAGCTCTTAAAGTATGGTTCTGAAACTTGTAATCTACATTGCAGGAAGAGGAGAACCTCAAAGAAGAAGTAAAAGTGGGAGCTACCTAAGCCTCACTGTTCCACTGGCCTAATCCAAGAGCAGGGGATAGGATATGGCCCAAGGCCCCTAAAAGCCTGTCAGAAGAGGAGCAGGCTTTCATCCATTGACTGCCTTTCCTGTTGTCCTATCTCATCCCTGCTGAAAAGATAAGCCAGTGGCAAGGATACATCATCCCCAAAAGGCTTCTCACTTATCTTTAAAAACTGCTTTTTAGGGGCAGCTAGGTGGCACAGTGGACAGAGCACCAGCCTTGGAGTCAGGAGGACCTGAGTTCAAATTCGGCCTCAGACACGTAACACTCACTAGCTGTGTGACTCTGTGCAAGTCACTTAACCCCAACTGCCTCACAAAAAAAAAAACCAAAAAACCAAAACCCTACTTTTTAACTCTAGGTGCTGTGAATTAGGCCTAAGAAGTTCAGGAGGCTTTTTCATTTGTTTAGCCGGTAAACTTACCTTGAATTGTGTAAATAAAGCCTCCTGCTACTCCCTCTACACCTTCCATGAATTCATAAGGCAATGCTCCCTCACCAGCCTAGAAAAAGAATGAAGACAAGAATGAAACACTTGGCATGTTTCATTATAACGAATTATCCATATTTTAAAAGTATTTGGCAAAAATCAGAATATTTCTTCAGAGCAAACATTCGTTTAAGTTCACGAGGCACCAAGATGAATTAATATCACTATGACACACTGTACTTTCATGTTTCTTCATCTAATTAGTGTACAGTACCCCAGGCACCTGAAGTCTCCCTTTGGGTCCGCAGGGCTGCCTTACACAAAATTAGAGTGTCTTGTTTTTGCTACTGCCAAAGTCCAAAACCGAATGTCACTTTAGCTTCCACCCCTCAACATCTTTTTTGTGTTTTCAGTAACTTAGACTTTTGTTTTCTCTTAAAGTGAAAATTCCCACTGAGCTAGAATATAAGGCAGGTTCATAGTTCAGACTGTCTTCTCAACAGTTGGTGCCAGTATAGTTTAAACATGGCTGTAAGTGCAGTCATTAACATAACACTGAATTAAAAAATACTGACTGACCCCCAGACATCCTCTCTACACAGTATACACACAGCAACCATCCTTAACATTGTCGCTGTAACTACTCTATACCTGATCAATGCCATGATTCACTATGAACTGTTTATTTCATATCAGTCTGGTCTCTGCTAATGCTGTTTTCCAAAACAGATCTCCCTGTCTAAGACTGCTTCCTTGTGTTGGTACTTCTGCTCACCCAATTTCAGCTTGCCACAGTGCTATCCCTGAAGTCACCCATCTTTCCAACAGGTCTTTTCTGAAAGCAGTGTTGCCAGAAACAATGCCTTAAAGCTGGCCTACTGCCAGTGTTCAGTGGGACTGTTGGTAACCTTGTCTTACCAGAAAAATGCTAAGGAAGACTGATCGCTGAAAAAATGTCTTAAGAAGACTAATGTTAAGAGACTCAAATTTTGCAGCCACAAAAAGAGTTGAATTCACTGACTACACAAAAAACTTATGGCTCTGTCTACAGCTTGTTGGCCAGGGCACACTGACTCTAGATTTAGCTTTCTACATCTTCAATTACTGATGGAGCGTGGGAAAAACGCCCTGCAAGGTAGCAGAATTCAGGGATACATGGTATAAATCTTTGCCCAAAGGGAGATTTTCCCTGACATAAGGAACTGGGTTCAAATTATATTTCTGATACTTACTAGCTGTGTGATTAAACTCTCAGGACTTCTGGTCTTTCCTTTGACTAAATCATAGATCATCTGGGTATCTGCATATTTTAAAGCTTTTTTGATTCACTCTCTAAAATTCTATATTTAATAAAACTAAAGAAACAAAATGGAAGTTTTTAATTTATTAAACCTGTCAAATACCAAATCTCCAAATTCCTTTAGCAACATTAAATTAAAGCACACATGTAGTCTTCATTTTAGACTTGCCTGTCAAGTGGTATTTTAAATGAAATATAACTAGCCTAGTAAGACAGAAAATGAAGATTCTGGACAGCAATGAGTTAGGGTTCATAAAGAATTCTCACTCAAAAAACTCCGAGAAATAGAGACATTTTTCACTCAGAGAATTCACTAACCTGAAGACATTTTATACTAAGGTAATGTATTCATTATATTTGAATTTATGAATTCACGTGTGACAGCTATGTTTTAAGCCTTTCAAGTCTTTCTGCTATAGTGATCTCTAAATACGTATCTATCAGACATGCTCTAACACAGAATACTACTTCCTAATGAAAGGATTTGGGCAAAAAGGAAAATGAATAATCAGTTGGTATGATAACTTGTAACTTTCCCAAAATTCTGCTCTGCAAATCGAGAAAGTATGACTTACTGTGATGATTCTGAGAACTCCCCCTCCATCGTTCACTGTTACTTTGTGAAGATTCCTAGACACGAGGCCTTGAAGATCCTGGCTCTCCCACACAATTGTGCCTTCAAAGCTCTGTTGTTGTTGTGTTGTTTTTTTTTTTTTAAAAGAAAGAATAAACCTCTAGATTAAACTTTACAAAGAAAAAAACTGTTCTAAAAAGAATAACTGTGACATGACTTTAAATTATCTAGGTTCATCAAATTAAAAGAAAGACCCTTGGAAAAGACAGTGTACTGTGTTTAAGTTTTCTAAAAGACTAAAATGTATCCATCCAATTGTCACTTTTTTTTTCTTTAACCATGTTACCTTTAAATTTTCCAAACATAGGGGCGGAGCAAGATGGCAGAGTAAAAGCAGTGACTTGCTTGAGGTCTCCCTCAAACCCCTCCAAATACCTGTAAAAAATGGCTCTAAACAAATTCTAAAGCAGCAGAACCTATAAAAAGACAGAGTGAAACAAATTTACAGCCCAAGACAGCCTGTATGGTTGATCAGAAAGGTATATTGCGCCGAGCAGGGAAAGGACACCTCGGCGAACCTGGAGCAGGCCTCAGAAGACTGAATCATGGGCAGCTGTGATGGTTTCCAGACTTCTCAACCCACAAACGCCAAAGACAACTTAAAAGGTCAGTAGGAAAAGTCTGTGTGTGCTATGAGAGAGAAGTGAGGTCCCAGCCCCAGTCCCTGAGCACGACCCCAGGGCAGCGGCTGCTTCCTGAGCTTGAGGCCCACAGACTGAGGGGGAATCAAGTGGCTGATCAGAGGGGGATTGCAGGGATCTCTTTGCTGGTGCAGGATTCTCTTGCTTTGCCCGTGCTTGGATCTGGTCACAGTTCTGGGTGGCAGTCCTGGGGCAAGAAGGAGCGCTGGCTTGGTGGAGCTTGTAGTGGAGGTAGAGAGAAAATCCTCCTCAGAGTTCCAAGGCAGAAAAGAATACTTGTGGTCACTCACAGACCACAGCAAAGGCCAGGAAAGGAGTAAACACCTTGCCCTTGATCACAGTACCTTGGAAGAAATGAAAATGTACAGGTCCCTACAAGTATCTCTGAAAACAGCTACACAAAACCCCCAAAGCCTGGGACAGTACATTCTCCCCACTGGAAGCAGACCCCTACCTTAACAAAGAGTTTATAACTCAAGTAATTGGCTGGGATCATGAGCAAGCAGCGCAAAAAGAGTGAGACCCTAGAATCTTACTTTGGTAACAAAGAAGACCAAAACATACAACCAGAAGAAGACAACAAAGTCAAAGCTCCTACATCCAAAGCCTCCAAGAAAAATATGAATTGTCCCAGGCCATGGAAGAGTTCAAAAGATTTTGAGAAGTAAGAGAAGTAGAGGAAAAACTGAAAGTGATGCAAGAAAATCATGAAAAACAAGTCAACAGCTTGCTAAAGGAGACCCAAAAAAATACTGAAGAAAATAACACCTTAAAAAATAGCCTAACCCAAATGGTAAAAGAGGTCCAAAAAGCCAATGAGGAGAAGAAAGCCTTAAAAAGCAAAATTGGCCAAATGGAAAAGGAAGTCCAAAAGATTACTGAAGAAAATACTTCCTTAAAAATTAGAATGGAACAATTGGAAACTAGTGACTTTATGAGAAATCAAGACATTGTAAAACAAAACCAAAAGAATGAAAAAATAGAAAACAATGTGAAATATCTCACTGGAAAAACAACTGACCTGGAAAACAGATCCAGAAGAGATAATTTAAAAATTATTGGACTATCTGAAAGTCATGATCAAAAAAAGGCTAGACATCATCTTTCAAAAAATTATCAAGGAAAACTGTCCTGATATTTCATAACCAGAGGGCAAAACAGAAATGGAAAGAATCGGGCACCTAGGTGGCACAATGGATAGAGCACTGGCTCTGAAGTCAGGAGGACCTAAGTTCAAATCCGGCCTCAGACCAAACACTTGACACTTACTAGCTGTGTGACCCTGGGCAAGTCACTTAACCCCAATTGCATTAAAAAAAAAAAAAGAATCCACTGATCACAGTGAAAGAAATCCCCAAAGGAAAACTCCGAGGAATATTGTAGCCAAATTCCAGAGTTCCCAAGTGAAGGAGAAAATACTGCAAGCAGCCAGAAAGAAACAATTCAAGTACTGTGAAAACACAATCAGGATAACACAAGATTTAGCAGCTTCTACATTAAGGGACAGGAAGGCTTGGAATAGAATATTCTGGAGGGCAAAGGAGATAGGATTACAACCAAGAATCACCTACCCAACAAAACTGAGTATAATTCTTCAGGGGAAATGGACATTCAATGCAATAGAGCACTTTCAAGCATTCTTGCTGAAAAGACCAAAGCTGAATAGAAAATCTGACTTCCAGATATAAGACTCAAGTGAAACATGAAGAGGTAAACAGGAAAGAGACATCATAAGAGACTTATTAAAGCTGAACTGTTTACATTCTGCATGGAAAAATGATATTTGCAACGCATGAGTCCTCTGTCAGTATTAGAGTAGTTGGAGGGAAAAAAAATTATACGTATGTATATATATCTATATCTATATCTATATATTCTATATAGATGAATAGAGGGCCCAGGGTGAGTTGAAGATGAAGGAGTGATATCTGGAGAATAAAAGTAAGAGGTGAGAGAGGATTATACGGGGAGAAAGGGAGAGGTAGAAAGGGGTAAATTATCTCACATAAAACAGACAAGAAAAGGCTTTTACAAAAAAAGGGGGGAAACAGGGGAAGGTGAAAGGAAGTGAATGAATCTTATTCTCACAGGATTTGGCTTAAGGAGGGAATAACATACACAATCAATTGGGTATGGAAATCTATCTTACCCTCCAGGAAAATAGGGGGGAATGGGACAAGAGAGCAGGAGGATGACAGAGGGGAGGGCAGATTGGGGAAGGGTGTAATCAGAAGTAAACACTTCTCAGGAGGGACAGGTTCAAAAGAGAGAATAGAATAAATGGGGGGGGTGGGGTAGGATGAAGGGAAATATACTTATTTTCTCACAACATGACTACTATGGAAGTATTTTGCATGACTGCACACGCATAACCTATATCGAATTGTTTGCCTTTTCAATGAGGGTAAGTGGGGAAGGAGAAAGGGAGAAAATTTGGAACCCAAAGTTTTAAAAACAAATGTTAAAAAAAAATTTGTTTTCACATGCAACTGGGAAATAAGATATATAGGCAATGGGGTATAGAAATCTATCCTGCCTTATAGGAAAATTGAGGGGAAAGGGAATAAGAGAAGGGCGGGCAGAGATAGAAGAGAGGGCAGATTAAGGGAAGGGGTATTTAGAATGCATGCCATTTTGGGGTGGGGGAAAGGATGAGATGAGGAGAAAATCTGGAACTCAAAATCTTGTGAAAGCGAATGTTGAAAACTAAAAATAAATTAATTAGTTAAAAAAAATTTTTTCCAAACATATACTAGACATCTCCTTACCTTCTTAAAGAGGATGCTGAACAGTCCTTCTTTTGGATGATGAAGGATCATTATGAAAATCAGTTATCTTATTTTTAAGGAACAATACCCTCTTCCCACTCTCTCCACTAAAGATTTCATATGTCAGTGAAAAAAACTGAGGTCATTCATCAAGAAGTTTCCTCATCTCCCAGCACTCAGACACCTTCTTCGCCCTCTTCCATTCCTCTCTCAGATGAAGAGCTGGTTGTTCTCTTTGGCCCCCTTTCTTCTAACCCTCCCAGGCTTCTCCAGCAGACTGTTCTCACAGTCACCCCCAGTCACTTTATAATCTTCAATCACTCCTTCCATGAAGCCTTCAAATACACCCATATCTCCCTCCATTCTTAAACAACACAAAAAATAAAATAAATAAATCTCACTTGATCTGTCCATACCTGTGTGATCTTCCCTCTCCTTTTTGGTAAGCTCTTTGAGAAAGCCGTACACAATAGGTGCCTTCGCCTCCTCTCCTCTCTCTCTCCCTTATCCCTCTGGAATCTGGCTTCTGATCTTATCATTCAACTGAAAATGCTCTCTCCAAAGTTACCACTGACTTATTAACTGCCCAATCAAACCTCAGCTACTATCCTTCTTGATCTCAGGAGTATCTGACACTGCTGACTACTTCCTGCCGGATGCTCTCTCTGCTAGGTTCTCGTGACACTTCCCTTTCCTGGCTCTACCATGCCTGTCGGATCCCTCCTTCTTGGTCTCCTTGGTTCTTCCCCCATGAGTCCCAAAGCTCTGTCCTCTTTTTTTTTTTTTGGCTCTCGGGGGTCCAATGATCACTAATGACCCCTAGAACTGTATATCTAGTCCTAGTCTCTCTCCTCAGGTTCTAGTACCACATCACCATCTCAAACTCAGTTTGTCAAAAAAAGGAAAATAAAAATAAAAATACTCACAACTCTTTTCTCCCAAGTTCTCTCTTCTTCTCAAGTTCCCTATTATTGTCAAAGATGCCATCCTTCTGGTCACATAGGCTTGAAACCCTGGTGTCATCCCCAACCCTTCACTCTCACTCACCCCACACATCTGATTAACTGGTTGCCAAACCATCTCACTTCTACCTTCAAACTTCTCTCATGTATGCTCCTCCTCACCCCCACTCACACAGTCCCCACCCTAGTTCAGGACTCTACTGCCTCTCACCTCTACTATTTTAATAGCTTTCCATACTGTCTCCCAGCCTTACTCAGTGGCCTAAGAGACCTTCCTAAAGCATCTGCATGACCAATAAACTCCACTGGCTGCTGAGGACTCCAGGATCAAATATAAAGTCCTCCTTCTGGTATTTAAAACTCTTCACCACTGGGCCTCTTCCTATACCTCATTGCACTCCACACTGTCTGGGATATAGCTATGGCCAACTTGCTATTCCTCACAGACAACAACATTGCATTTCTAGCTCTCTGTCTCCACCCTGGCTATTCGCCATGCTTAGAATGCTCTCCCTTTTTCTTTCTGCTTCTTAGTTTCTCTGGTTTCCTTCAAGACTGAGTTCAAATTTCATCTCCTCTGGTGAGGGAAATGGGGGACACAATGCGTCCCTACATCTCCCCATTCATTCCCTACCCAAAGCTGCTAATATCCTCCTCCTCCCACATCACCTTCTATCTACTCTGGATAGACCTTGTATGTACCTAGTTATTTACATGGAGTGTCCCTCCATCATAATACAAGTTCCTTGAAGGCAGAATCTGAGTTTTTGCCTTTTTTTGTTTCCCTACAGCTTAGCAAAAGGTCCACTCTGACTCTGTACTTGGTCACTGACTGATGATCCCAAAGATAGTTGAGAAATTATATATTTACCCCTAAACTAAATGAACCCAGCAGCTTCAGAGTTGACAGTTCTTCTCTATCGACTATATCTGCACTCAATGTCAACTGTCGTTCTTACCATTTCTGACTTGTCCTTCATATCTCCTTTAACAAGGCTGATAATATAGAGAGCAAACCTGACTAGCTTAATTCTGTACATAATTCTAAATCAGTAAGTTATTGCTGAAACGTGGTTCTAACTCTATAGTGGGTAGGCTTGCTATTATTTTCAGGGTTCATAGCAACTTTTGGGGGAAATTAGAGGCAGGATTATTTCTGAGTTTCCGGATGGATAAGACTGTTAAAAGTCTGACAGACAGAAGTGAAGTATTTCTCTGAAATACCTTACCTATTACTTTCAAATTAGATAATGTATAAATGGCATAAATATCTACTAATGAGGTTATTCTTTCTATAAACTTAAGCTCTGCAAGAAGTAATTCTACAGATGAGGTTAAAAGCTGTAAACACTTAAAAATTTTCTATTTAAAAAAAAACATAATTAATTCAAACAACAAGCATTTTTAAAGCAGCTACTCTGTACAATGCCCAAGTGCCAAACTCATAGTAGTTTGCTGGGTTTTTATACTAAATGTCCACAATTCTCAGGAAATAATTTTATTTCATGAAAAACAATACAAACATTTTAGGAAGAAATTAATCCATGATTTTAATTCTATTTTGGAACAGATTTTTAAACTAAGAAGTACAACACTTGCAAAGTCTAATTAGAAAAAAAAAAGATCCAATGAGGATGCTTACTAAAAAAAGAGAGAAGGCAACAGTCAATATTAATACCATTCTGTCAAATTTAAAAGACACCTCTCTTTCTGTTAACAAAAAGATAAAGTACATTCACAGCAAATATACTTTATGAGGCTTTTCTGGGGGCAGGGGAACTGTCTGCTGTGTCAAAAGGAAATATATTAATAATTTTTTTTAAGCTGACAAAAAGAGGTAGAGGCGGAAAGAGATTATCACTATAGGGTTTTGGCTCCTCAGCAAAAACAGGGCTATACATAAATACAAAATAAATCTCTAGTTGATTCAAGTGAACCAAAACAGGCTAATTTTTCAAATATTGAAATGAGTTTTGGTTTTTATGCTGAGGAAATGTGAAATTAGACTACGCAATAGTTTAAGTGGCACATGCTGCAGCTTTCATTTACCTCTTTGACCCCACACTGAGATTTATGCCTCAGTGAGTTACACAATGAAAACATTTCAAGAGATCTGCTTACTTGACAAGCTGTGCTGCTGACATACTACCCTGGGAGGCTAGTAAGTGAACATTCCAGGAGGGAATAAAATGATGGCCCAATCATATACTCCCTTCTCTTACATGGAAGAAAGTGACCTCTTTGTCTCTCAATCAATCATTCTCTGCTGACTCTATTCTCGCAAACTCCTTATAACTATTCTTCTTCAGTGCTAGTAAGTTTGATGCAGCAAAGCTGGAATTCATCCTTAAAATTTAGCATACTATAATCTAGCTTCAACAAGAAAATAAGTGGATTTACAATAGGAAACTTTTTAATAGCAATAGTATTACTTGGCATACCTAAGAAAATCTGCAGAAGTCCATCAGTCTAAAACCTAAAAAAAACTGGGCTAAAACTTTAGTTTTTAGGCTCTTGGTAAGTATGTGAATAACCAAAAATCCTACCTGCAATTTCAGCACTGATACTGTCAGAAGCATCACTGTGGATGTTGATAAGGGGAAGATAATTTTTGTGAATTTTGAGAAATCTTTTTCCTCCCTTTTCTAAGGCTGGGGGAGGGAGAATGGTAATTCTTTGACTAGTGGGTAATGAAGAACTGATGGCTGGCTTTCTTCCTCCTTTCCTGTCTGAGGGGTTCACCAGATGCTGTCTAGTCTTTCACAGAGAGGTTGCTATACAGATTCCCCCCTCCCTGCTCATCACCGTGCAGTGAACTGAGACGCCAGATAACTTCAGCTGGTAAAAGTGCAGTTACTTCACAAATCAGCTCACAGGCCAAATGTCAACAGCATGTTAGGAGGTATCTGGGTTAGCACGAAAGGATTAAGGTCTCCATTTGTCAAGTCATTGTCAAGCATTGACAACTCATTATGAGAGGCCCCTGACTGAACCAAAACTGCTCTCCTCTTGTTCCTTGAACAGAATGGAATCCATACACACAATCAGCAAGGATCTTACTCATAAATTCACAGTTGCCTTATTATTTCTTTCCTGGATAAGACTAACCCTAGACATGTGAAAAAACAGCCCAACATCAGCCTGCAAATCTTACAGTGCTTGAAAATGCAAAGACTCAGGAGTCTTCTAATAATTTCACTAATATTTTAGGAAATCTCAAAAATTTGCAACTGAATTTGCATTCCTACTGCCCCGATAAGGAAGCCTGGTAAGGAATTAGACAGCAGAGCTCTCTCCTGGCTCACAAATGAATGCTGGTCCAGCAGCTTGTGATCGATCCCGAGTCAGTTCAATACGTGCAGTGTCACCCCTCCCTGCCCAAGTACAACACTAGTGCTTCAGCCTTCTCTTCCCGGCCCGTACCTCTGGCAAAATGAATTGCTCCACCGGTTTGTACCATAGTCTGTTGACTTGTACTCCACAGCTGGGGGGACTGAAACGAGCACTAAGGAGAGCATCCTGTGGGCACAGAGTCAGGGGAAAAAAAGTCAGGGGAGAAAGTCACTCTTCATACCTTGTTAAATATATTATTAGGAATATTGATATTCTATTTGGTTTAATCAGCATTAGTTTCTACCAACCCCAGACCTCTCTTTTCTCCTCTTCCATCTATCATCAAGTTAGGACACTGAATCTCCCTCCATCATGCCGATGATGTCATTTAGTTTTCAAACTAAAATGATAATTCATTCTAATTTAGAAAATAAATATGTGCCCCAAAGCAGTTGGGTATGTGAAACATTGCCAAATGAAAGGAGAATGGGGGTGGGGAGGTATAGGGGTGTGTGTGTGTGTGTGTGTGAGAGATATCCTACATCAAGAGAAGGTGAGACAAAAACCAAGCCATGGGGATATAAAGATGGCTGATTTTCATTAGATTAACAGCCTATTTTCTTTGAACACGGTTTTAGCCAAAAGAATGTATTTATTTACATGCTTAATATACACATTGACTTATGAGGGGAACATCTCATAAAAGCTATTAAAAGGACACAAGGTTTCTAAAATTACAATTTTTTGTTAGGATTTTCTTCTGTTAAATATCAACTTTTACAAATGCTGCAGGAACATGTTTTTGCTTCTTTAGGGAAGTAGGTGTGAACATCAGACTTACATGCAAATAAGGTCTTATAACCTTGGTGGGAGGAGGTAGTGGGTCTGAACATAGTTTTGTGTGGGGGCTTTTGAATACGTGCCAGTATCGACTTAAGCTAGAAGCCACTTTAGAACAGAGACTGTTAACTTGTCACCAGTTACATACAACATCATGTACAGTAAGCAGCTAAAGGTCAAATCAATAACATGGTCAAAGCACTGTACTTATGAATTGGGCTCCCCTGCTGGTAGCACACTCATTTAGAATAATGAGCTGCAGATACATCTTCATCCACTACCAAGACAATTAAGTATCTGATGTTGGCAAGTCACAGCAGGTCCTAATTTCCAGATTAAGTACGGTGGCATACTAAGGACTACAACTCTCACATCACTTAAAGGATTTCCCAGATAGAAGAAGTCTAACTTAGGCATAACAGATGGAATTATATGCTAATTGGCTAATTATATGCTAATCATTAACTTGATGAGGCTCTTCTCATAGCAATAATACTAGATTGTGGTCAAATACATCCATGTCAATGGAGGGGCTCTATGAATATAGCACCCACACCAGTGGAACTACTTTCCCAATTCTACTAAGACTGCCCCTTCATTCTACTTCTCTCACTACTTGCAAATGAGTATTTTATATTTTTGGAAGGAAATCTGAATTACAGGCTTAGCTGGAAGAAATAAAACCAGAGACCAAGTAGTTTAATCCCTGGCTAAACAAGAGTTCTGTCTACATCACACCTGATGGGTTACCAAGGATGGGGAGAACTCTACTTTGCTTGAAGACCCCCCATGTGGAAAGCTCACTCCACTTTGGGATGGCTCTGTTGGTTAGGAAGCGGCCTAAGTTTCCCGTCTCTTAAGCAGAACAAATCTAATTCTTCAAATGAAACACTATGCAACAATACTCACCACTACAATGGAAATTTTTCAAAGTAACTGAAACATATATTGATTGGATCTATAAATACCTCACTCTCTTTGCTAAAGAGGAAAAAATTTTAAAAAGACAATATTTATGACAAAAAATATAGATAATAGTAATGAAAATATACTAAAATTGAGCGAAATTAAAAATTACAATGGCAGCCACTGGCCATAGAAGGAGAGTAAAATAGCTTTAAAAATTTGGTCTTGGGGCAGCTAGGTGGCACAGGGCACCAGCCCTGGAGTCAGGAAGACCTGGGTTCAAATCCAGCCTCAGACACATACTAGCCATGTGACTCCGGGCAAGTTGCTTGACCCTGATCGCCCTGCCAAAAATAAGTTAATTAAAAAAAAATTGGTCTTGCACTATTTTTCCAGAGTACAGTAAATTATAACTAAACAGTAGTACAATAATTAGGGAATCTATAGGGAATTCATTGCTGTTATTTTTCTTACTGTGACATTCTTTTTGAAAACCAGGGACAATTTTACATATTCACTAATACATGAGTACAATACAATTATACCACAATTCTTTACTATCTTCATTCAGATATACTTTTGGTTAAATTGTGTTCCCCCAAATATAATTAGTAGTATATAATAACCTAATATAATACATAGCGTAGTACAAAATAGAATATAGATGGTAACGATATTACCAGAATTACAAAAAGGTTCCATCACATTAAATAAGGAAAGGAAAATCAAGTTTCTGAGTCAGGCAGCGGCAGACTAATTTTGTAGACCTTTTCTACGGAAAACAAATTTAATATTGACAAAAAACAAGTTTAATACTGACAAGACAGGAAAGAAGTTAAGGGATGAGGGAAGAGGGTTGGAAAAAACAGTTTGTGAAGCAGGGTAATACCTCCTGTTCTGCTTGATACACCTTGACAGTAATATTCCTCTGGAAACCCACATCACCAGCGTCATAGAAGACTCCAAGACTAGTAATGACAATTGGGTAGAGAACTCGAAAGCTCACACTGACAACTTGATCCTCAGAGAACCCTGCTGCAGTTCCTTCAGGAAGACTGAATGCCTCGATTTCCTGATTTAAAACTAGGGAAGTAATAACAACTCATGTTTATACACCATTTTACAAAGCACTTTCCTCACAATAACCCTACGAGGTAGGTAGCAAAAGCATGATTATCTCCATTCTATAGAGGAGGAAACTATGATAAACTGCGACACAGAGTAAGAATCAGAAGAAATTAGAAACAGATGCTACATATACAAACCCAATGAAACCTTTCACCTATACCAACTTTTATCGTGAGCTGGGCTGCTAAAACTAAAGTGAGTAATTGCTTCTAAAAATAAACCAATTATTTGTTAGGCTTCTTCCTCTTCCCTCCAAATAGCAAGAATGGAGGGTGGAGCCAAGATGGCAGAGTAAAGGCAGGGACTCAGCTGAGCTCTCCCCTAAAACCCCTCCAAATACCTTTTAAAAATGACTCCAAATAGCAAGAATACCTACTCCACTAAAGAAGCAAAAACATGTTCCCATAGCATTTGTAAAAGCTGATATTTAACAGAAAAAAATCCTAACAAGATCCCTGCTGGCTACATACTGACTTAGAAAAGCACATATTACTATTACCTATGGTATATAGTATCTTTATTTATTTTGTTAAATGTTTCCCAATTAGATTTTAATTTGGTTTAAGCTACACGCCTGACACCTCTGCCCCAAACTAGAGCTGATCATCATTCACAGAAGCTTTACAATAAATAAAACATGTGTCTCTTTAGAAAGTGGATTTGAAATTTCCCTAAATAGTATTTCAAAATACCACAAAGATGAAGTAATTCCCTCTTCCCCAACCCCTGCCAAGAACTGCTCAAAACTTCTCATTCTGAGGACAGAGGTTTATTGAAGATTAAAAAGAATGTTTTCAAAGCACATTTAAGCTCTTTATTGCACCATGCTGTAGAGTTCCAGTTCTAGTTTTAATTTTACTTTTCTGTGTTATGGCAGCTTAAGCTCAAGGATTCTTGGGAAAGTCACAAACACATACACTACAAAACTGAATATGTAATTAATTTGAAATATTTTTAGAGAATGTGATTTGAATGAACAATACGGTAAAAATGACTTTGCAAGGAGTTCAAAACTCAGTAACATAATGTTTATCTTTCTCCTCTATTATATACGTAAGGAACAATTGCATATACTTGAAACACCAAAGTCCGATCTTCTGATAACATAAAAGAAAAAGAAAAATCATGTCCTTCTGAAATTCTACACATGCCAAGAGACTCCCATCTGTATCCCAATACATTAGGAGGTTTGCTAGGAAGTGGGGGAGAGAGGTTTAATTTTGTCAAAAATGACTACATACTGCTAAATTCAGCAACTCGAAATTAATAATCTCAGTATTGTGACTGACGGTAACCGTAGGGCCAAAAAGAGAGAAAAGCCTAGAGTGGATGAACAAAATCAAGATAACTATGAACACTAATGTGGTGTGGCACTCACCGGGATTAGTGATGTTCAGCAGTTTGCAGGAATAAGGGTCCTCTCGATCTTCCCCAGGCACGTCACAGCCACGAGCACCTATTATGAACTTCACAAGCACACTGAGAGATGTGTTGGCATTAACATCAATTAATAGTATTCTATCTTGACCATGCAGCTTCCTCCTATGCCCATTTCAAAAGCTGTCCTTTTTGAGTCATAAGTACTCATTAAAATTAACTTTCTAGCTTTGCTTTACTTCATGCTGAAGGAAAACAAGCAAACAAAAAATACTAAATAAACAGAGGCTCGTTTCTAACCTTACTCTACTACTGAAAGTTATAGATCCTACCTTTGGCCACCACTAAAAGAGGATGGCCAGTAAACTCCTGGATTATGACTGTTTCTTTATACTTCTATTATTGAGGCTACAGCATAATTTTAAAAAGAAGGTCTACATCATGACTCTCTAATATGAAATATAAGACTTCTGAAGTTCAGACACACTTTGTAAAAACACAAATATACTTTTTTTTTAGTTGATGGCCAGTCAAAGCAGAATCTTTTTCTTTAACAACCAGTTTAGGGTATATGAATATAAATAGAAACTATTGATGATTTTAAAAGTTTCTGTTGTAGACATTCGTCCTAGATGGCTTTTAGCCATGTTATATGCACATTCTCAAACAAAACTATAAAGGCAACAGATGTAATTGCAGGAAGAAATTTTTACCTAGGCTTACAAGGATATCCAATCAGTTTCAAAAACAAGCCACTAAGATTATTAAAGTGAAAGCAAGATGAGGCAAATTGGTAAAAGATAAAATGCATTTCAATTAAGAAATTCTTTTCCAATAATTAAATAATAATTTTCAAAATTCACTTATACACGATCTGAAGGATTACAGTCCTACAATTACTTAGGGATCAAGACATGAAAGAACCTTTAGTAAATGCCTTCAAAAGAATGAAAACAGTAGGAAATAAAGACTTGAAATCTGTATTTCTTAGAGCTAACTGTTGGTGACCATGAAATTCACTTTCAGTAATTTGGCTCTTAAGTTACCCAACCCTAAATAGCTTTGGGTCGATGCCTGCCAGAAAGGCACATCAATCCACCACTATAAACCTCTCCTTACATAGATATCCCTTCCACTAATCCCCACTATCATCTTGAGACTGGCTAGTCAGCTGACAAGAGAGAAAAGGGCACTGAGTTTTTGTTAGCCTGTTATGTGTTTTATCTAAAAGCCAACAGATAAGGTATTTTACCAAAACTCCCTGCAAGAAACTTAAGAATAAGAATACAGTACACATCACAAATATTACTTCACACAGGACTTAAATTTTTCCACAAAATTTCATTTTATGTGTACCTTGATTTTAAAAAAGTTAATTTTGTGGAGTTAGTGAGAAAAAGTTTATGGCATAGCTACATAGTCAATGTGTAATATCCCTCATTCTAAGGCTACAGCATGTAAAATACGCTATTTTAAAATTAAAACACTGGTATTTAAAATAAAAACATTCAACAAATACTCTTCTCCCATTATATGATTAAAAGTAATTCAGTTAAATTCATTTCTTGGGCATAACTGTAGCTAGACATAATAACTTCTCCTACACTGGCAACAGTCTAATCTTCAAAATAAATGTTCAGGATAACTGTTTCCTACTCTATGTTTCTATATATCCAGCAAGGCACTGAAATACGAAACAACTTACCGTTGACTTAATTCTGAATGCTGTTTCAAGTGCTTCAACCAGGTGTTCCTGATCACACTTCGTAGTTCATGATTATTTCGAGCTGACAGCACACCAACTACCACATCATAATGTCTTGATTTCCACTGAGGAAATAAAGTCAGTTGATCTGGAAATAAGTGATAAATATTTAGATGCATCCTATGCATCAAAAATAACCACAGTACCAAAAAAATGTATGTTAAAATTTTAAAAAAATATTTAAAATAGAAAAATATTTTAAGACATTTGAAAATATTTGAAAAAATAAAATATTTATTTCAATATTTTAAATTCTTTAAACCAAAGAATCGGTTTAGGGAAGCAAGTCAATCATCATTCTATTCCCTGGATAGACAAAACCTAAATATTCTCTGCTTGAAGAAGTCAGCATCTTTCAATAACTCTGTAACCCTTTAATGTTAAATAATTTTAGGGTCAACAAATTCCTTATCTAACAACCCAAAAGTGTGGGGGGAAAATCAGCCCTTTTGGAGAAAGGAACCACCTAAGGTCTTGGAGAAAAGATATTCACTTTATAGTTTACAGATCAGTAAAAGATAAGATTTCATTCACCTTAAGTTTAAATTTGCTTAGAGAAGACCTGAGGACCTAGCTGAAAGGAATGAGAGAAAAACATGTTAGAAGTAGGGCTGTCCACTGTGTTCTCCTCTACTGACCAGTTTTAGAAACTTCAGCATTAAGCACACAAAAACTCAAACAGGCAGGGCTCAATTCACCAACCTTACCTGGTCCCTCCTCAATCAGAAGCAGGGAAACTTCAGAGAAGACATCTCCCAGAGGTACACATTCACCAGGTTCTATTCAACTATGGCAAAGACTGATGGCAAATCCTTTTTGGGTTTAGTGCAGCCAGGGAGCTCATGACAGCAATCTACCTACCATTGCAGTGGCTTCTCAACTCCAGTCATATCTTTTGAATCAACACTTCTACTCTTCCCAGGTCTCACTCCAAGTAAATGCATCATGCCCTAGCAATATCCCACCACATGGAATATTCCTTTTCAAACCAGCCCTTGCACTTTTCAAATCAGCCTCTCTCACCCCCACCTATATTTTCAACCAACATTCTTTCAACCACTTTTGCGTTTACAGAAACTTGGCTCCACCAAAGAAACCCTATCCCTTGCAAACTTTTCCACTTGTGAAGACTTCTCCTCCCACTCCCTGCCTTCACTCACTAGGCCACAATTCCACCTTTACTCTTAAGAGGGTTATTTGTACCACTCTTTCCCCACCATCACTGCTATTATATACTGCCTTCCAAGACATTCTCCCATCTTTTTTTTTCCCCAATGAATTTATTATCTGGCTCATAAACAATTTTCTCCACCCTATCCCCTGCTATTATCCTCAGGGACTTTAATTTCAAATTGATAATACTTTAGCAACTTGATCTCTCAATTCCTCAACCTCAACTCCAACTTCTTTCTCTATCCCACTTCAGCCACAAACTAATACAGAAACATCTTAGCCCTTACCAGTTCGAAGAATTAGCTCGCCTCCAAGATGCATAAGTTTGAAATCTCATTAACTGACCACAACCACTTATCTTTCTTTCCCTACTAAACCCTGCTCTGCACTACACACTGAGTTTAAGATGCCTAGGGGGACATCTAATTTGAAATGTCCAGTAAGCACTTGGTGATGTGGGTCCTTATCACTGACTTAAATAAATTCAACAACCACTTATTAAGTGCCTAATATGAGGTGGGCACCTTGTTTTGTAATAGGGACCCAAAGACAAAAACAAGAATTTTATATTCTATGAGGAACACGTTTACATATATGTAAATGTAAAGTAATTTTAAGAGTGAAAGTACACTATTGGGGAGAGGGATTAAGAGGAAGGGCTTTGTATAGAAGGGGGTACTTGAACCATGCCCTGATGAAGGATATGGACCCAAAAAGGCAGAGGTGAAGGGACAGTGCTTTCCAGACAAACAGGACAAAGAAAGTATAATAGGACAAGGAACAACAATTTGGGGAAGAGATGGTAGGCCAGTTTCATACCAAATACATGAAGGAAAACACTTTGATCTAGTCTCACCAAAGAGGGTTCTTAGTCTTTTTTATTTCATGGATAATTTTGGAAGTGTGTTGAGTCCTTCTCAGAAATGATTTTTTTAAACGTATACAATAAAATACACAGAATTAGAAAGGAAATCAATTTTATTGAAATGACATTATAAAAATATTTTTTAAAGTTAATGGGTCCAGGATTAAGAAGCCTTGTATTAATAGGTCTGTCTCCTAATGTTACTATTAAAAGACTTTTCTATACAAAATATTTATAGTTGCTTTACATATAGTAATAGAAAACCTAGCAAAAATATTTATGTCTAAAAACTGGGAAATTGATTAACCTGTGTTACCAGCACAAGGAATTGTCATTGTATTGTATGTACTTCAAGGATCTGTGATTTTTGTTGGCATGGGCATTTCTTTTATTGATGCAGACTGAAACCCCTCAAACAGCATACATATGGCCTTTGGCAGTTTCCATGACCAGCCTGGTAAAGAGCCCCTCTGTGCTTAAATGGGTCTTTAGACAATGAATACAGATGCAGTTTGTTCCTGGGCCTATACTTGAAACCTTAGCTTTGGGAACTCAAGGTCACTTATACCATCATGAGGCACTGGAATAGGACTTTATGTAAAACAGGCTGCAAAAAATTACAAATATAAAGAATAAAAAGAAAATAGCAATGAAACGTGATACACAGATGGATAAGAAATCAGGGCATTAATGTCTTTTTTGAATTCAAAATGTAAATAAGCTTGAATTTTATTCCTTATTTGATAGATTTTTGTATTTTTCCATTTGTTGAAATTGTCATTAATAAGATTTTGGCAAATAAAAGCAATAGGAAAGATTTTTTTTTTAAAAAAGGAAAGCAATTTTATCCTAGTTTGCTCATCAACTTTGTTTCATGGGTTGCGATGTCCAGTGGTGCTAATAAAGCCTAGCTAATAGAACATCTGAGGCAGCTGGATGGCTCAGTGGATAGTGTGCTAGGCTTGGAGTCAGGAAGACCCGAGTTCAAATCTGGCTTCAGATATTCACTAGCTGTGTGGCCCTGGGCAAGTCACTAAACTTATGTTTGCTTTAATCTACTGGGAAAGAAATGGCAAACCACTCCAGTGTCTTTGCCAAGAAACCCCCATGAACAGTATTGGCATGCTATGGTCCACTGAGTCATAAAGAGTCAGACATGACTTAAAGACTGAACAACAAAATATAACGTTCACACTGGCAACACAGACTACAAAATCAAACAAAGTCTTCAGGGGCACAGAGGAGTCAACCCAAATGTAAAATGAATATTAAAGAAATGAATTGGAAAATATTCTAGTAGGATGGCAGCCAAAATGACCTAGCAGTAGGGTAGTAAGGCCAAGGTCAAAGCGAAGGCTGTCATCCTATCAGTAACTTAGGAGGGCCTGGACCAATTCTCTCTCTCTCTTTTTTTGGCTACACAATGGGGTAAAATGACTTGCCCAGGGTCACACAGCTAGAAAGTGTTATGTGTCTGAGGCCAGATTTGAACGCAGGTCCTCCCGAATCCAGGGCTGGTGCTCTATCCACTGTGCCACTGAGCTGCTCCAGCTTGGACCAATTCTCAAGGTCAACCAAGTTTTTCAAACAGATAACTGAAAATTCCCACCTTCTCAGAGACAGAAAGCCAAGTTGGGAAGTGGACCAGAAAGACTTAAGTCAAGCAGGTTGAAAGGGTTAGAACACACTCTAAAACTTTCCTACCTTGTACTCCCTTTCACATTGCAGCACGCAGGGAAGTTTTTAGGAAGCTTATTCAGCCTGCCACGATGGTTTCTTTACTCTGCCTATATTTCTATATAGGCTACTGCTAGCTATTAGCATCCCATTTTGAGCAGGTTAAGTAGAGATAAGGTGAACAGCTAGAAAGTAGATTACACAGCCCCAAATATTCGAGAGCTGAACGTTAATGGCTCTATTCTATCGAGAGGCATCAAACACACAGGTCTCTTCTTCCCCACAGATTAAAATATAATTGGGAAATATTTGACAAAATAAACAAAAATATAACAGAATGGCTTTCTAAGTCAATATGTAGTCCACAGGGATCCTTGTGCACAGTTTAGTAGCCCCACTTCTATTTGACACTACTGCTCTACATTCTTTCACTTGGAAACTTCCATCAGCTCCCATGAAGATTACTCCCAAATCTAAACATCTAACCCTAGTCATCTGAACCTCCAAATGCCGTCTGGAAACTTCAAACTAAATGTCCCATGTCCATCTCAAACTCACCTTGTACAAAACAGAACTTTTCTACAAAACCTACCTCCTATTATGAATTCTCTATTCCTTCCAGTCACCCACGTTCACTATCTGAGCATTATCTTTGACCCTTCACTCTCCCTCACCCCACATATTCACTCACTTACCAAATTTTGTCATTTCTATCTCTACATCTCTCCTATCTCCTTTCTGTTGACATGGCTTCCTCCCTCAGATCAAGCCCTCATTCTTGCCTGAACTACTGTAATATCCTCCTCCATTAAAACATGTCCTCCTTGACGGTAAGCACTCTTATTTTTGTCTTTTTATCTCTAATAGCTAGGAAAGTGCTTGGTACGTAGTAGATGCTTAATAAACTGTTGCTGATCGATTAACTAAACTCACTGGAAGCATATAATGAGATGAAAGAGATCAGATGCTCTATAGCAGAGGTTCCTAAGCTAGCACCCCCTTAAAAAAATACTCAGCACCCCCCTCCCTGAAATCTACTCTTTAACTTTTTTTAATTTGTATCATTTCAGAAAAATAAATTTTAAAAAGACACATCTTAAATGTAATAATTTATTGTAAATTTGTTTTTTCTGCATTGAAATTTTGATGACGCAATATTATGTCATGTAACTGTACAGCAGTGTAAGTCATTACATGCTCATATTCCTGTTGATGCATGCTAGATTTCCCAACAATGTACAACATGCTCGCCTGCTAACACTGGCTTGTTAAAACCTATAGGCGGACTTGCACTGATCAGTTATAATTTGCATTTTGTGTGTTTATTTGGAAAATAATGTAATCACTACGACTTTAACTCTGTTACACAACAG